GGGAGTCACACGCAGGATAATTCTTATAACGTTGCAAGGGGGAAAATGATTTAAGCACGTGAACAGGTTTCTTACATGCTACTGTCAGGTATAAATAGAGAGCGAGTGCATTTGCACGTTCTCCACAGATTTCATAACTCTTCTCTCTTGCTTGTGTCTTTGTGTCACTCTTTCGTATTTCCTGTATGCGTTCTTTTCTTTCCTTTTTCTTCTTTATCTGCAGTACTCATGCGCGTGTCTCTTTATCATTCTGTTAAAGTATTCATTGGTTAATTTTTTGTTTGTTTGTTTTTTTTCTCTCCATAAATGTTGCAAATGCGGATTAGTGATCATAGGAACAAAGACAGAAATAAAAGTTATGTGTATATACGTATGTCCAAGTATATTTTTTGTCTGATGTGGCGGTCTGAACCCATCAGGGACGTAAATCACATTCCAGGCCGCGTCAAAGTTCTGATTGGTGATTGTGAATGTAGTTGGTGCCACAGCTAAGAGGAGGGGGGGGGTGGAGGGGCAGGATTGGGGTAGGAGTGGGGAAGGGAGGAGGGTTGGGGAAGGAGGGAGGGGGGGGATTGGGGAACGAGTGAGAGGAGGGTGACTTGGGGAAGGAGGGAGGGAGGGAGCGTTGGGGAAGGAGGGAGGGAGTGGGACTTAGGGATGGAGGGAAGGGGAGTTGGGGAAGGAGGGAAGGAGGGGGAGTTGGGGTAGGAGGGTGGGAGGGGCAGTTGGGGAAGGAGGGAGGGAGGGAGGGTTGGGGTAGGAGGGAATGAGAGGGGTTGGAGTCCGAGGGAGAGGAGGGGGTAGGGCAGGGGAGTGTGGCTGGCAGTTTCCCAGCACGGCGGGCGTCAATACCCAGCAACGCGGCAGAGCTTCGGTTCTGTGTCGGTTTCCCCTCTGGCGTGTCCGTTCCTCCGTCGGCGTCTCCTGCAGGTGTTTTTTAAATTATTTTCTTAATCGTCTGTGAGTGAGTACGTGAGCGCTGGTTTATCTCTTAATGAGGAATAGTATTACGTTTTATTTTATTTTTATTTAGTAGAGCAAGTGAAAAAAAAAGTTCGAACGAGAGGAAGTTTTCTCCTGAAGGTCATGGTTTCTGGCCAAGGTCACCGTGAACGAGGGTCAAGGACGTACGAATGAAATAGGTACAATTGTTTTATGCATTTTTTGAACGTTGTTTTGTATGGAATTATAACGTGACATTTGATTAAACGGATTAACAGATCAATGAGATGAAACGTTTGCCAAAATGCATTTGATTTCATCGTTGCCTCGCCTATCTGTATGTATATCTATCTATCCATTCGTCTATTTTATGTTTCATCTAAAAGTTACATACAAGCCTCTCGACTGCTAAATGGTAGACATGCACGTAAAAATACTTCTAACAGAGCCAATCGAGCAACTTGTAAATCTATTGCTAGGATCGACCGGGCAGTCTGCTATTTGGACCGAGTACACATATGCTTTATACTGTTTAGCATCTATCCATCTAGCTGTCTATCGGTCTATCTACCTATCTGTTTAAGTATATCTGCATATCTACGTATATGCCTATCTGTATCTGTATATTTATCTTTTCTATTTATCTAGATATCCATATATCAATATCTCTATTCTACTACACATACACGTACACACGCATATGCACATGCACACGCACACGTACACACACGCACGCTCGCTCGCACGCACGCACGCAAGCACGCACGCACGCACGCACGCACGCACGCACGCACGCACGCACGCACACACACACACACACACACACACACACACACACACACACACACACGCGCGCGCGCGCGCGCGCACTCATGCACGTGTGAATATGTATTATTGATCTATATTTCTCCTCTAATCAATTTACTCCATATCACTTAATTGCGTTGCAAGATCTAGACCTCAACGTTTCAGAGTATTGAGTGTCTGTTGAGGCTTCCTGTAAAGGCGATGCGAGGGAAATCCTGTCGAGGGCTACGGACTTATATATATGTAATACTCCGTTATATTTTTTCCTTTGTAATTTTTGTTTTTTTTTGGATGGTGTTACTGCTGTGTTTGGTATTATTATTTTTTTGTAGATCCATGTAGGTCTCTTATTCGAATTGTTGAAGTTGTTGTTCTTGCTGTTATGATTGTCATTATGATTAGTATTACTGCTGTTTTTGTTGCTATTATTATGTGTTATCATCAACATCATCGTCGTCATCATCAAGGGGCTAACGCCGACGGGGGCACATTCGCTTCCAGCCACGAGGGTCCCTCATGGCGAGTCTCCAGGCAGGCTCTCGGCCATCTCTTACACCTCGCAACAGGTCACGTCGAGCTGCCCAAGCTATGACTTCCTAGGACATCCCGCGGGCCTCTTCCACCTAGGATTGCCTTGCAGAGAGACAACCTGATGGGCAGAGTCAGCCACCATCTACTGATTTCTTGGTTTGACTGGCTAGGTGCCCATATATCCTGAGCTGGCGATCCTAGATAAGCGAGTCGGCCTCACAGTGTAGCCGTCAGTTGGACACATTGTCCTGCCAACTGTACCCCATGATCTGGCAAAGAGGCTTGTTACAAAAGGTAACAAGATGAGACTCCAAGGCACTCTATAGCATCTAGACTTTGCTTCCATACTGCAAAACTGGCACTGAGTTTATGGCTCCTGCTGCCAGACCACTCCATCTACTGGCTTCTTGGTCTGACAGCCTAGAGATATGGACTACACTACCAAGGTATTCATAGCTGTCTGTGACTTCAACGTCATCATCGCAAGCATGGATCGACTGAATGGATTCCCCTAACAGGTCCCCAAAGTCCTGAATCTTGGTCTTGATCCAGAAGACCTCTAGGCCCAAGGGCATCACCTCATTGCTAAATGAGCCGCCACCAGTGATTCCAGAGACTCAGATAGGATAGCAACATCATCAGCAAAGTCAAGGACTGTGACCTTGATATTGGCCACTGTTGCTCCATACTAAGTTTGGATAGTAGCTCTGCCCATTATCTAAGTCATGTAGTTGTTGAAAAGTATTGGTGCAAGGACACATCTTTGCCTCACCCCTGAATTAACAGGGAAGAAGTTTGACAGGCCCCCACCACACTTTACAGCATTTTCAGTACCAGTATATAGACCTGCTATTACGCCAATAATCCATGTTAGAATTCCCCTAAGTCCCAGGATCTCCCATAGCAATTCTCAATGCAGAGGATCAAATGCTTTCTTGATGTCGAGGTAGGCTACAAGCAACCCACGACCGAACTCATGACGGTGTTCCACAGTTATTCAAAGTGCTAGGATATGGGCTATTGTGGACTTTCTAGGAGTGATTCCAGACTGCTCCGGTCTCTGGTGCCTTAGTAGGTGGTTGCGGATCCGTCTCAGAAGAAAGTGGGTGAAAACCTTGCCTGGTATACTGAGCAGTGTAATGCCCCAGTAGCTGCTACAGTCCCAATGATCCGCTTTCCCCTTCCAGAGAGGGATGACCACACCCCTCAACAGGTCAGGGGGAATGGAACCAGACTGCCAGATAGCAGTCAAGACTGCATGCAAGCCCCGTACAATAGGTTCACCCCAGCCTTTAGCAATTCAGTAGGGATATCACATATACCTGTGTCTTTCCCACTCCTCAGCTTAGAAATCGCCATCCTAATATCAGGGTAGGTTTCTTGTTGGGAGGGTCCGGCACAGGTATTGTGACACCACTTGCATCCAAGCAAACTGTTGGAGGGTCCACCTAATACAGTTGCTGTGGAGTGAATCCAGACTGCTCCAGTTTCTGGTGCCATAGTAGGTCGCGGATCTGTAGCAGAAGAAAGTGGGTGAAAACCTTGCCTGGTATACTGAGCAGTGTAATGCCACGGTAGCTGCTACAGTCCCAATGATCCCTTTTCCCCTTCCAGAGAGGGATGATCACGCCCCAAACAGGTCAGGGGGGATGGAACCAGACTGCCAATTGGCAGTCAAAACTGCATGCAATCCCTAGGTTCATACCCCAGGACTAGGCTAGTGCTGGCAGCTGTAAGCGAGAAAGCATGCAAGCACTATTACTACTATTATTATCATTATTATCACCATAATGATTTTCATCGATATTATCAACGTGTGTTTAAGAGTAAAAAGTATCTTATCTGTTCATTACTTTGACAAGTATATTGATGCGTCATGTCATTCGATGTATGGCTGCAATATTCGGGTACACTGAATTGCATACCATTGCACCAGACAGTGAAGGGTGCCTCAGTGTCTTCCAAATTAAATACAAAAAATAATTCCTAACTTTACAATGTGTACATGTCGGCAAAATAAGCGAAAGATTTTAACCCCTTTAACAGCCCAGTTAACCGAAATCCTCAGGCTAAATCATTTACCACGTAAAGTTAATAGATCACTGGTATCAGGTACCTGGTAGTGGTTAATAGGTAGAAACTGATGCAGCATTACAAAAGTTGTCTGTTGGATATGAACGACTCACATTTTTACGATGGCAGCTTATGAGAACTTCTAAAGTCGATAGGAAAGCTGCTGATTTGGTGTCTATGCATGCAATCATCTGTGTAACAAGTTTCGTCTTTGTTAACACTGTACAGTACAATATTAAAATTAGAGTTTGTAAATGCGGAATTTGTTTGATTCAAAATTATAGTCTGTTTGTTATGGCAGGAGTACAGGCTAATGTGGAAATTGTTTCATTAAAGATTACAGTTTGAGTTTGTTATGATAGGAGCACAGGGAAATGCCAAAAATATTTCATACAAACATACAGTTATAGTTATGACAGGAGTAAAAAAGGTGAAAATCATTCAGTTAAGGCAGTGTTTTCCCACTCCCACACACACACCTTGCTCTCACTCCTAATGACTAAACAGCATCATATAAACCACAATCACAAGTAACTCATTCCTCCTCCTTTGTTTCTCCAAGAAGAAAAAACAGGAAAAAGATGACTTCCTCGCAAACCATAGACACCAACTGCGTCACCCTCACCCGGTTTATCCTGAGGGAGCAGAAGAAACACCCAGAGGCCACCGGGGAGCTGACCATGTTGATTATGGGCGTGCAGACGGCTGTCAAGAGCATCTCGAATGCCGTCAGGAAAGCGGGCATCGCGTCTTTGTAAGTATGGTGGAGTTTTTTATTATCATTATTTTTAAATAATTTTTTCACATGTAAAAATACAAGCAGGACCATGTGTTCAATCGATTGCTACGCCGTGAGACTGGAATGGGTCCTATTACTTGCATTATCCGGGATCGCCAACTCAGGCTTTATGTGCACCAAGCTCGTTTCCCTGTGGATGACCCTACCCATCAAGTTGTCTCTTTGCGAGATGAGGTGGAGGAGGTCCGAGCGACGACCTAGGAGGTCGACCAAACCTGTCATCAGAAGTTAAAGATGGGCCGATGAAGTGAAGGGTGGCTGCCGCCATGCACCTCCTTCGTTGTTAGCCCCTTGTTGATGATATATATATTTATATATATATATATATATATATATATATATATATATATATATATATATATATACATACATACATATATGTGACATCTTGTAATTGACAGGGTCTTTATACAAGGATGAATGCACACACACTCGCATGCGGGAGATTTGCATATATTGGTAAGTCTATCGTAGATATGATGGTGGGTTAACCCATTCGCGCCGGGTAAAAATGAACAAAAAATAGGGGAAATGCTGTGTTCATTTTTTTAAATTTTTTTAATGAAATTTCTCTACACTAGATGGCTCTGCTTTAACGGATTTCATTTGGCGGGAAAATGTATTTTTACTAGTGCTATGAATATCGATGGTTATTTTTATTATAAACATTATAATTACTCTAATGTTATAAACATTAGTAACAGGAAAATGGGTTAAGAACTACCAACAATGATTACCTAAACAACTACTCCCCGAGTGAAGGATCTTTACATATATACACATCTATATGTGTGTATATATTTGTTATATAAGTGTATATATACATATACATACATACATATATATGTATGTATATATGCATATATATACATATGCGTGTGTGTATGTATGTATGCATGTATTATTATATTTTTTTTTCAACAGCCATTCATTCCACTGCAGGACATTGGCCTCTCTCAATTCAGTATTGAGAGGTTATATGGCAGTGTCACCCTTGCCTGATTGGATGCCCTTCCTAATCAACCGAGATTCGGTGCCATGGCGGTGACCTCGCCTACGACACCCGCGCTTGACTTCTCAAACCGATATGTCGTTTTCTCGGGCTCGAGGTAGTAGTCAGAGCGCAGGCATTTTTACGACTGCCGCGACAGGGAATTGGACCCGGGACCACAAGGTATATGTGTGTGTATATATGTATATATATATATATATACACACACATATATGTGTGTTTGTGTGTGTGTGTGTAGTGTGTGTGTGTGTGTGTGTGTGTGTGTGTGTGTGTGTGTGTGTGTGTGTGTGTGTGTGTGTGTGTGTGTGTGTGTGTGTGTGTGTGTGTGAGTGTGCAAACACCACATTATTGTTTGCAAGGTGACATTGTTTTATAATCATAATAACAAAACAAATAGAACCTTGAATTCTGGATGAGTTAAGTCCGAACGCGGCATTTGGAACCGAACACAAGATTTATGTATTGTTCCGCACTCGTAACATTTTTTTATCTCTTTTTATCAATTAATTTATTTTGATAAAGAGCAGCTCTTCTTCGAATAGTCAACCGTCATGTAGAAATTCAAAATGATCTACTGATACAAGAAACATTATGATGTATTATATAATATTTTTAGGTCGTCTTTAGTGAAACATGTTTGATGATATAACAAAAGGTAGGGACACACACACACACACACACACACACACACACACACACACACACACACACACACACACACACACACACACACACACACACACACATTATTTACAACACATAAAACTTGCATAGTAACCTTGATAATTTTATGTTTAATGCTAAAATCTCCGGCCTTATGTTCACAATTCCAGACTTTCCCTCTTAAACCATGAGCATTGAATCATTAAATTTTCTTTATGAACAATTCTAATAACGTTTTACTACGGCTTTACTTAAGGAAGGATAATCTACGCTTAGAATTTCAATAAATCGCTGTGAAACCTTAGTGTTCAGTATTAAAAAGAGCCTGCAAATGAAGCGTCACAAATGGACATTCATTCACTTTTTTTCTTAATTATTTTTGACTTTTTATTTAATTTGTTATTATTCATTTACTTACTTACTTATTTATTTATCTATTACTATATATTTTTTGAAGAACTCCATACCTGGCACAGGTATGGAGGAAAAAATAAGTATTTTGAAAGACCAATTCCTATGTACTTTGACATTAAGCACTTTAGTGTAGTTAATGCGAGGTAAGTGTAAAATCCGGGTTTTTTTCAATGAGACTGGAATCGTGAACAATTTATTTTTTCTGGTATTTGATTTAATCAAAAGTCGGTTTTCCCCGTGAAAATCAAAATACAATATTCCATCAAAAGACTTTTTAGCGATATCTTCAGCATTACAGTTAACAGAAAATGATTGATTTTCATATACTAATGAGGACCTGCTGACCTATAAACTCTTGGTCCTAACATGTATCTGCTGTAACTCC